CTACAAATAGTACATAATCAGATTCACTGTACAAGAAATACCACTGGGGAAAATGCATCATGAAGCCTGCTGGCATTGTGTAACTTCTTAAGAGCCATCCAATCTCAGTTGTGTATCTTTCTCAGAGGAGACCTCTTTTCCACACAGAGGCAGGCAGTTATTGGAGTTTTTAAGGTGTATGTGCAGGCAGCCAGGTAAGATTTTTTTTTTTTGCATAGTTTCTATCAATACATGAACAATAAAAGTAAATAAGGTGGCTCCCAGTAAGCCATGAAGCCTTCAAGTTTGAGTTTGGCCCCACCAGCCTCTCATTTCTCCTCCTCACTCTTCAATAGCATTCACCCCATTTTCCAGGCCCCAGCACCTCTCTCACATCTCCCACTAATCCAAACAGGAGAAAATGATATCCTCTTTTACACTTGGAATGAAATTCCTCCCTATCAACATGTTAACATTTCCAGGAACTAGAATCTTTGGGTTACTGTCAATAATGACGGAATGAAAGGTTTTATCTCCCATTAAGGGACTTCAGGCCTCTTATTACAGTGGAGGAGATAATTTCTATTGTCCCTAAAAATCACAATTTATCCCTGAGGTTGGCTTTCATCATTATAGGCTACCTGGAGTCTAGGGGTAAATCAGAAAGGACAGTTGAGCATCTGAGCTAGCCTATTCCTTTCCCATCCTTAACAATTCACTTCCCATCCTTCTACTCCAGGACTCCCAGATACCAGGGTTATAAATCTGCTCTTATTGTCCCCCTAACAATGCCCTATGCAAATGTCCTGATCTGGGCTTTCATCCTCTCTATCCACACCCCCCTTATCATCACTGTGAGCTATGCTAGCTGAGTGTGTTCCTAGGCAGTCCTGCCTCTTGGCATAGAGCTCCTGCTGTTTAAAACTCTCTAGTGCTCAGGGCACCTCAAGAGAGGCTGGGGAGCAGGTAGCAGCAGTAGGTGTCAAGGGATATGGGAAAGGAATGGCAGGATGGGAAGGAATTATAAAGAGAATTTCAGCCTCCAGGCATAGTTGAAGGCAAGTGAAACTCCAACAAATAAGAGCATAGCTTTTACAATGTGTGACAAGAGCATGAATGTGTCCATCACGTTAAAGATGATAGTTATACGTGGAGGAAAAAAGTCACCATTATTTAAGTTCCTTATAACAAGCAATAAAGTAAAAAGAGATAAACTAAACTCTGGCAGGGGAGTTTTGCATCAGGTGTGAGGCTGGACCTGATGAGCTCTAAGATGGATTCCGGCACAGATTCCTCCCACGTGGTATTGATTAAGGCGGACTAGTATCTGCTCTAGGAGGTGCTTTGGGACTAAAGGAGCACATGGCACATAGATAAGAGAACTCAGAGATAAAAATCCCAAATGAGAGCCCTCAATATGTGGAGACACTCAGGCAGCTAGACACACGAGGTCAGTAGTTCAGTACCAAAGTTGAAGGGAGGCTGCTCTACAGAGGACCACCTGCTTTGTTTTCTTTGTTCTCTATTCAGACAACAAGTGGCCCCTACCCTTGGCCGCAATCTCAGTGTTGGCTCCCCTTCCCCTTTTTACAAGTGGGGAATGTATAAACCTCACACAGGCTACCTACTCAAGGTTCTGGAGACAGGTGCTGCACTGTCAGTTGACTGCATGGAGACAAATGTTAAAACTTCTCAGAAGTCCTCATAAAGTGAGGTTATTACACATAAGGTTTTTCTTCTTTCTGTAAAGGCATGTTCATTAAAACAAAACATCAAGGTCACTATAAATACAACTATTGAAAGTAATAAATAACTAGTTTAATGGTGTAAGACAATATATAGCTTTTTCATTAAACTATCAGTTCTCTGGTTACCCTGAGTAATTAGTTCAAGTAATCCAAAATGTTGAATTGAACAAGTGATACCAAAAAATCCTTGAACAGGATAGAACAGAAATATCCAAAAATAAACAAAGAATTAAATAAAAGTATGACTGTTACTGTTTTTAAAATACCATAACATTTTACTTATAAAATCTGTATTATATAAAATAAGTCAAGAAAAATATTCCATTTACCAGACTTTCCAGTGGAAACTTGATCTATACTTTGCAAAATCTGCTTTTAACCTTGGTAAAGCAATTAAAAGGTGACTTTCAACAATTCCATTGCAGAAATCAATTTATCTTTGGAAAAATAAATATTTAAAATTAATATTTTAATATTTTATTTTAATATTAAAATATTTAACATTTTAATATTTATATTAAAATTTTTAATGGCTACAGAGACTTTCAACTCTCAACTCTCTGCAAATCCACTAAAGGCTTCTTCTCTGTTCTCTGATCCCCTGTGATAGAGAAACAAAGACTAGCATTTTTAATTTCAAGAAAATCACATTGGTGCTTTGTTTTTTCAGTTAAATGACATGATTATATTTGGGCTACTTATCTATTAATGAGTTCCATATGAGCTCATTAACTTTCACATAATTTAAATTATAATTCGATTAATTATTAAATTATCTTTTTCTTGTCTTAAAAAAAAAACCATAAATCAACATATAAGTGGATAAAAAGGGATTCATCTGGGTTATCTTATCCATATTTACATCTCCGGGCAGTGCCATATCTGTGAGGGACCACTTCCCAAATTCATCCAAGTACTGTAACAGACATTTTATTGCTGGCACTGCAAACACACTTCCTCTATGTTTTCATTTGGATTCTCCCAGAAGCAATTCTAAGCCAAGGATTTGCAAGCAGATAGTTTATTCAGAAGATGATCCCAGCAAACACTGGTAGGGAAGTGGGGAAGGGACACAGAGTAGGGGAAACAGACAATAAATGGTCCATTATTGAGCAAGTTGTCACTGTGGGCAACTGCGGCTCAGTCCTGCAGGGAGAACTTTGGAAAATGAGTTATCCTGCCTGGGGAGCAAGGAACTGGTGCATTACATATCCTCGACTCCTGACCATCAGTGGTTGAAGGTTGCTGGAGCAGGAAGTAACACATAAAGGAAAAGAACACAGTGTAAAGTAAAAGAATCTGATCTAGCCTGGCAGTGGGCATCACAGACCGCTTCCGAGGAAGTGATGCTTGAGCTGAGATCTGTGCGTATGTATATATGGGGCGGGAGGGGAGAGGGAGAGAACAGAACACGTGCATAGAACCACATTGACACATACTTGAGAACACTGATCAGTGTCTTAGTCATCTTTGTATTCCCAGTCTAGCACCTAGTGCCTAGGGTATTACTGGGGCTCAGCAAATACTTGGTAAATTGAAGACAGATGTAAGGGGCTGACAAAGGATTTCAATCTGGAAGTAACGTGATTTTCTGAGGCTTTCCCCCCAAAGTCACGTATTGATCAGCAGTTCATTTGATGGCTATACTTTCCTTGACTCTTTATTATTAAATTGAAGATTTATGCTCCATTACTTTTGTCATTTTTCGCAGATTTTAGCCTGGTGGTAGAGTGAGATAACGGCAAGGACCACAAACGAATTCCAACCATTCTCATGCCACAACCGGCCTGTTCTCAATCACACCAAACGCTTTCCCTCCTGGGCCTTTACACTTGCGATTCTCTCTCTCAGAACACTACTCCTTCCCTGGGTTCCTCCCGTTCAAAATCACCTCCTCCCAGGGGCCTTCCCTGACCATCCGATCTAAATTAGTCTCCTCAGGCCTTCTTTAACGCATCATCCAGTTTCATCTCATTTCTTTCATGGAATTTACCTCTCTGAAATCATCTATTTGTCTATTCACCTCCACCTCCAATTCTAGGAGGGCAGGGGCCTTATCTGGTTCTCTGGATGTATCCCCAGTGCCCCAAACTAAGCAAATATGTGTTTATTCAACTAATGAGAAGAGCGTTACCTCAGATTCACCTCTGTTCTTTCAAGCCCTCAAAACCCTGAAGCTTTCCACTCCTGGCTCTACATCCCATTTTCAACAATAACATCATTGTTACACTACTTTGAGGTTCACAAAGTAGCCTGGACTCCATTTCCTGAGTAGAGCCCCTCAAACGATGCTGAGATAGAAGGTCCGTCCAGGGAAGAACGCCCATTCTCTCCATTTTACAGTCTACGAAATTCAGCCTCAGAAAGGGGATTCGCCCGCGGCCGTGCCGAAAAGACGGGCAGGAGCCCTGAAGGGGGTCCACATTCCGAAAAGCCTTTCCATGAGCCAGCGGATCCAAGACGCTTCATCATCTTTACTACTATTGTTTTATAGCATTCATTCTGAACGCGTTCCAGGCCGAAGGATGCCTCCCGGGCCCTAGCTGGTGTCCGAGCGCCCCAGACCTTAACTCCGGCCGCGCCCCCGCGCGCCCCGCCCCCGGCCCCGCCCCGGCCTCTGCTCCCACCCCGCCAGGACTCCCGCGCCCCGCGGGGACCGCCCACTCCCACCCGAGCCAATCAGCAGAGCTTCGGGGGGCGGAGCCGCAGGCCCCGGCCATCCTCTCTGAGCACCAATTGGTCAACCCAGCCGTCGCTCACGAGGTCGGGCCCCGTACGCACCTCCCTCCTTTTCCTCCACCCTCCCCTTAAGAAAAAACGGCGGTTGGGCCGCGGCGGCCGCCAACTGCACTCGGGAAGCGAAGGGGCGAGGAGCCAGGGAGCGAGGGAAGCAGGGACTGCGGGGAGGAGGAGGCTGAGACAGAGGAGGGGAGCTCGGCCCAGCCGGAGCTATCTCCGTCGAGAACAAAATGGCGGCGCTGGCGGAGGGCCAACTGTGAGGCGGGGCCGCGGCCATTCCCCCTCCGCCCCCACCCTTGCGCCGGCCGGGCCGGTCAGGGGGAGCCCGCTCGCTTCGCCCGGCCGGGGCGGGGAGGGGAGGAGGGGAGCGGCCCGGCCCACTATGCAAAGCGTCCGGCGCCGCCGCCGCCGCCGCCCCGTGGCAAAGGTAAAAGGGTCGGGTTCAGCCGCCGCGGCGGCGCCTCCATGTCCGCGCGCCAGGCCCGCCCCCTCCGCCGCCGGCCCGAGCCCGCCCCGGCCCTTTTTCAATTTTACCTCAGGATTTGGCGCCAAAGTGGCCTCGAAGCAGGTCCCGTGTCTGCGGCGGGCGCCCCCGGCGCGGAGGGCAAGGCGCGGGGAGGCCGGGCTCCCGGCGTTGGCAGATGGCGGGAGCCCCGGGCCGCGGGCTCACGGGGCAGCGGGAGAGAGACGAGACGCCGAGGTGGGGGCGGGGGTGGCGGGGGCGGGGCTGGGGGGGCCGCTGGGGGCGCGGGGAAGGGGGCGTTTGTTATTGTTTTTGTCAGTGAAAGGTCAGAGTTCGTGACCCCGGTGCCGCCGCCGCCGCCGCCGCCCGCGCTGGTAGGAGGAGGGCGAATGTTCTTCTTCCTCTACCCAGCGCCGGCCTCGCCGCGGCCGCGGGGGGCGGGCGAGCACGCGATTGGCTGAGGCGCGCGCGCTCACCGGAACGCCGCGGCCGCCGCTGCTCCGTCCGGCCCCTCGGCGGCGGCGGCGGAGAGCGGCCGCGCTCTGGGGTCCGCTCCGTGCGCCGGGCCGGCCGGCACCGCCGTCAGGCGAAATGGAATTTAAATGGCGCGGGGTAAAGGGTTGGTTGGTCGTTTTAAAAACCCCGGAACCCCGGACACCGTTATTCGGGTGCAAGGCCGCCTCTTGCGGGGGCCGCGAGCTTCTCACGGCGATTGTCTTCTCGCCGTGACATCCTCCACCCCGGCCTCCTGCCCGGCTGAAGCCCCTGCGTTTGTTGATTGAAGAAGCAGTCCCGCAGCAGAGCGCCTGTAGGTCGGCAGTTTGTTGAGTGGGTGTTAAACTGTTCGTGCCCTGCTCCGTTCCGATGGTTTGTTATTTAGGTTTTAAAGGTCCGAGGATGCCCCAGCTTCTGGCAGTATCAGATAAAGTGTGGGAACCCTGTCAAACCTCTCATGTATGGTCTTTTAGTGAACATATGATTCAAATCTTGTGAAGTCCACGCCTCTCCCCTTCGCGGTTTGGAACTCGTAAACAGTGATACGTAAGTGTATATAAAGCAGCTCTTGGCAAAATTGCTTAAATATAGAAAGAAAATTGCTTCTCTTGATCTGATGAATGTTGGGTTGTGGGTTTTCCTTAGATAGTTCTCTTTTTTATGTTATGGCTTTAACTTGCTTTGGAAGGTGTGGACCACTTATCCTAGAAGCCCTGAAGTGTTGAGGCTAGACTCGTATTGATAATCATGCTTTGTAGGCTGAAGATCCTCTGCTAATGGATTTTTTTCTGCACTTTTGTTGTTTGTTACAAATAAATACTGACTCCAAGATGGATGGGTTAACCTTTCTTTCTTAAACAGTAGCCACTGGGGCTTTCATCAGGATAACCCCAACTTTGAGTATTTTGTCCATAATCTTATACTTCTATTTGATAGGAAATGCTTTAAACGCACCCATTTTCCCCTCTTCCCTGTTCTTACCTTGCAAGGAAATAAGTGGAGAAGAGAGTTAAATTTGTAATGTCGTGGTGAACCACAGATCCTGAAGTTGGAAGGGGCCTCAATAGATGACATGATCCAATCGTCTTCTGGCAGGAAGATTTTACAGGAGAGGTGGGTGAGAACCAGAAATGTCAAGTGATGTGCCTCAGGTAACCCAGTATTTTGATGGTAACTCCTTGTACACATGGATTGCTTTGCAATTGTGTACTCTTTTTCAAAAATAAAATTTTTTCTTTTTTACTTTTTTTCATGCAGTTTTTTTCCTCCCCAGAGACCCAGTACATAGTTGTATATTCTAGTTGTAAGTCCTTCTAGTTCTTCTAAGTGAACCCCTGCCACGGCATGGCTACTGACAGGTGGGTGGTGTGGTTCCACAACCGGGAACCGAACCAGGCCGCTGGAGTAGAGCACACCGAACTTTAACCACTAGGCCATCAGGGCTGGCTCAAAAATTAAGTTTTTAATGTTAAATAATACATCTAGATATAGCATAAAAATTCACACATCAGTGAGTTTTGGGGGGGGTTCACAAACAATTGTACTAGATTTTAAAATAAATACTAAACAATAATTAATGTTTGTATGATGGCTTATAGTTTTCTTAATTTTCTTCATTTAATACTTAGCAGCTCTGTGAACAAGGCACTGTTATTTCCATTTTACTGAGGTGCGGAAACTGAGGCCCAGATAAGCAACCTGCCCAATGCTACAGGTGCAATAAGTGAAGCCAGGGCTCTGATCTAGTCCTTTTGATTAAGGTTTATGCTGTAAATCATGCTGCATCAGTTTGTCATGTGTGTAATAGTATTCAGTAAATTTTCAGTTAAAGGTTAGTTGTTTAATATTGAAAGTTAGTAGCAAGGGTTCATAATCTTGAGTGGCTTTTCTTCCCCTGAAAATAGATGCCCACTTACACACACATTGCAAACAACATCAGCAGGTAACAGTCTTCTGCAAGCTGAGGTCAGCACTGCCATAGTGCCATTTTTGCTTCCATTTTGTTTTTGCTAGAAGTCTTTGTAGTGAGAACTCTAAGTAGCTTTGTAACACTTGATGGATTTTAGAATCACCAAAAATATTGAAGTTGTATTATACTAGCCATACTTTGTTTATTTGACTGTCTATTAATAAGAAGTATCCACATTTGCATTAACAGTGCTTTTTGTTTTATCAACCTTTAAAATAAAGGGTTCTTGACTGGGAGTGCACTTCAGAACTGCCAGGCCCCGGGTGGTTCAGAAGCAGTAAGCTTTGGTATCAGTACTTCTACTGAGCATCACAGATAATTCTGATGCACACTACAGGCCTGAACCTGCATGGCAAAAAATTCGAAAAATGCATGGCAGAAAAACCAAGATAAAACTTTTTGTTTCACCTTTTGAAATGCAGTTTAGAAGTTTTGTTTTTTGTTTTTTGTTTTTAAACTCTGACCGTGCCTGAAGAGTATTCATTCACAGGGACCCGGGGCTTGATGGGAGTGATGATATATCTGGCAGTACCCAGCCCTTATGTGTGCATCGTCTTGGCACCTACCCACACTATGAGCCCTGTATTGAGATGTGCCTTGTCCCTCTCTATCTCAGGCCTTAACACAGTACAGAGTGGGTATGAAGTGGGCATTTATTGAATGAATGCTTTCCCAGCAACAGCGTATGGTGAACAATATTCATATCATCGTCCTGTTTTTACAGATGAACTCACTGAAAACAAGTTTTGGTGACTTCTGTGAGCTGGGATGTGAGCCTGGGGCTTCTGGCTCCTTGCACAGTGCTCTGTGGATGAGACCCAGGTGTTCCCTCCTCTGCCCTCCGTGGTCCTCTGGGCAGGTCTTTTTTTTCCATAACCCTTAACTAGTCTGTGTGTCATCAATTATTAATTGACTTGGCTGTGAGCTCCTTGAAAGCAGGAACTATATCATGCAGTTTCTTTTGTACCTAGCACAGAGTAAACATGTTTTTTGCCATCCAAGGTTATCTTAAATTTGCATTTAAATGATAAATGTTGAGTCAATGAAAATGAAATTTTAATTAAACAATAGTTGTAGATGTGCTAAATTTTTCAAATTACTATTATCAGAGATTTTTTTACTTGTAAGGGTACTGCTTTTATAATAGCATAAATAATGATTTTCCTTTTTATTTTTTTTTATTTTTTTTATAATTTTTTTTTTATTTTATTTATTTTTCCCCCAAAGCCCCAGTAGATAGTTGCAGTAGATAGTTGTATGTCATAGCTGCAC